TGTTGTTATTATTCATTTTACACCAATCAAAGCAGTTTTCAATCAAATGTTACAAAACCAAAACCAAACTAATCAGTAGGATTTAAGGCTTGTCTGTCAGTGGAGGTTCAAATTTTGTTGCATTCTCAGAGTTAATAAATGAATGAATAAATAAATAAAAAAGTAAATTACAATACAGTGGAACTCCACTAACCTGGTGGCTGTATTAATGTGGTGGTTTCATTAGATGGGTATTCTTTAATTAAGAAAATGACTGACTGAGCTTTTGTTTGGGCCAAAATGAAGTGGCTGTAATAATGAGGTGGCCATATCAACAGGGCGGCCATAAGAGTAAAGTGGCCGTAATAAGGAGGTGGCTGTATTAATGGGGTGCCTGTGAGGCTGGGTTCTACTTTGTAGATACTGTATTTAGATCGGAAATAGCTGGTTTTCATATGGGTGCTCTGTCCTGGTCAAATTTGAAATTATTTGGAGGTGTTGGGTTTTGTAGAGGGAGGAAAATGGGAGTACACATACATGTTGAAAAGCCTCAGTGCAATTCAAGAACCAACAACAAACTCAACCCACATACCTGTATGGCACCAGGCCAGATTCAAACCTGGGCCACATTGGCAGTGGGAAGCGAGAGCTCTCACCACTGCACCATCCCTGCTCCCCTAAGAGTAAAATGGAAGAATTTGAATATCTTGTGTTATATATTTTTTTAATTTTTTTCTTCTGTTTTAGTTTGCAACTTTGTGAGCCATGAGCGCTGTTTGCAGTTTGTGGTGTCTCCTTGCATTTCCATAGCAACATCTTTAGTGAAGGTGAGTCCTTAGTTTGTTGTTACATTTTAGTCATGATTAGAACTAGGAACTCATAATGTTGTAAGGGATGGCGAACAGTAAATCCCAGCCTTTGCACTACAGGTAAATGGTAAAGTCTGCTTACAAGCCCAGTGGCCCATCAGGCCAATGCTTATCTCCCATTTCAGTAGCATGAAGCAACCAGGAGTATTTCTACTCCCCTCTGGATGCGGTGCTAATTCATTGCAGGGTTACCCCTGGCAGCATTGAATTTGGCAGTACCCATTTATGGAGTGGAGAGTAGCAGAGGCACTGCACAAGAGTAAAGTGTCTTGTGCAAGAGCACAACACGGTGTCCTCGGCCAGGGCTTGAACCCCAGACTGCTTGATTTTTCAGATAAGAAATATTTCTTGCCTCTATTTTGACAACACAGGATCCTGTGGCCCATAGTTGGAGTGGACCCTCGTTCTTTAGGAGAAGATTCTGTTGCGTTTGCCGGAAAAGACTGGATGAACATGTAGCATTCAGATGTCAAGGTACACTGTATTCATTGTGCAGAGCTCGAAAAAAATTTGAATTGGAACTTGCCCTTCAAATAAGTAACTCTGAAATTTTGCTTGCCTGGGAAAAATACATTTTGTTTCCCTTTTTATGACTTAATTGGCAAATGACTTCCTGGGCCTCTGTTTGTCCTGCAAGGGGACATTAAAAGTTACTTGCTCCATGGAAAAATCTATTTGTTCCAGACAACCAGACAGCACTTTTAGTGAGCCATGATTGTGTCGTCCCACTAAATCAAGGTTGAGTATATTTTTTTTTGTAACTGCAGTCTTAGAGTAGAAATAGTTTTTTAGTAGTCTTTAACAAACTAGTTTTTCTGATTTACTGCAAAAGGTAGTTGATATGTTTCTCTCTTTGCAGTTTGTGATTACTTTACTCATGAAGAATGTAAAGAGTTTAGCGTTAGTGATTGCAAGAAGTGTGCTGCCTATACCCCATACGTGCAAAAGGTACTGGCCAGTTATCATACCTAGTGGTACCTTTTTGACATGCCTTGGCAGCATGTCAGGCGAGTTTGCTTGAGCCATGGTTTGTATTCTGGCAAGACATAGTAAAGGCAAAATACCACCCCCCCCCCCCCAAAAAAAAAAAAAAAAAAAAAAAAAAAAAGAGAAACC